TCATTAAGCGGTTAGCTAGCTAACCGCTTTATGGCATGGGCTCCAAAAAACCGGAAACTTCCATAAGGCGCTACCTATCGACAACGCTTTATCGCACGTAACCTTATCCTTCTGCAACCAAAACCGGAAACTTCCACAAGGCGCTACCTATCGACAACGGTAACTTCAGCAAAGCGCTTCCTATGATTTGTATACTGTTGGCGTAATACGCCCCCTGGTGAAAGATTGACAATATGCTGTGTACGAAGAGTGGCTATTATAACAATTATATCGAATTCTTATTAGTATTTACCAAAGCATTGACAATACTTAGAACACTAACTTCAAAGAACTGAGAATTTCGTCCTTATTACATGTACATCGTGCGATCGCGATTTATAGCAACTGTTAGTTTATTTTTGAAAGTTGAACGATACGGTTAATTATACAGCAGGTTGAAGGTTATTACAGACTGCAAAAACATCAGCAAATCTCTAGATCGAGTTTAATTTTCCTTGCCAAAGTATTAAGAAACACCATTTACATGTATTAAGTCAAGTCATACCTGAAAAACGTTTTTATAAAAACACCGAATACATCTGCAAGTTTTACACTTTTTGTAACGTTTTTATGGAAACAATAGGATTGCCTCCACAATGAAACGTTTGTTTTCTTCTCTGTCTAATAAACAGTTTTAAAAGCTCAGCTCCCAGGGGTAAATACTCTGCTCCGTCTTTGATAATTTATTACATGTACAAACGATCATAAGGGATCACTTACTTTTAGTTTTGAAAAAAATAATGGGGCACTTAAAGTAGTAAAATTAATTTTGAAAAAAAAATGGATAAATATATATTAATTTTAATCGGCATTGTGACCCTCTTCTAAAAATCAACCGATATTATTATTCACAGAAGAATGAGGTATGAAAAATGTTGGCAATTAGAAAAAAATTAAAATTTATACTTAATGTTTATTTATAAGTTTTGAAAATTTGATTAATTCCTAGGGAACGTATTATTAGCTGTGAAAATACTTTTTAAATTTGAATTTGTCCAATTCGTCGATCATTATTTTGAGCGTTTGAGAAGAATTAAATTAAGATACAGGTGTTTAGAGGCACATGGATAGAAAAGAAATCAGTGTATATTGTTTAACCGACATATTGAAGAAAGTGACACTGATAACTTCTTAAGTTACACTGACTTTAAGTGTAGATTTGAATTTTTAAATACTAGTGTTTTTTTATTAGACAACTTTCCTTTTCACATGTTTTATTTGAGAGCAATATTGCATGAAGAGTATAAGGCAAATACACATTACATGTCCTTATCTAGACATATTGTGCAAGACTTCTTTTAAATGATTCTCATATACCATTTACCCCGGTACTTTATTCGAACATTTACTTGTTTGAAAAGTCAATAAAGTACATTTCATAAAGCTTGATAATCTTGTTTACTCGCCAGTCTTCCCGTACAAGTAGTAGTTCATAATATTACTAAACGGAAGTATTCAGTATCTGTATAAAAATACAGAATGATCGATTTAAGAAGAAAAGCTGACTCCTGAAAGTTCAAGAGGTAGGTTGCGTTGCCTAGAAGAAGTAAGCATCCCTCGTTGACAGGTTACACCCGCAGTGAGCCTACGCATCTGGAGCTCTCTGATATCAATTCATTTACAAAGTCTCTGCTCAGTCATCCTTTTTTTCTCTGACTAGCCAGCTGTAGATCTACACTACTCCAAATTCATTATTCTAAAGAATTTAATTTGTCATTTTTTTAGTTTTTTGCTATATTAGGCTTTACAATTACCTAACTTCAATAGAGCATGAAAGACAATTAAATTTTCAACATCAACATAATTGTTTTCATCCAGAGAACGATAGGATGCCACCAAAAGAGAACTTTTAAAAATGCACTTCCTGTCTTTCAAACTGAAGAAATCTCATTTTTAAATTTTGAAACATGCATTCTAATCTAATTAAAATTTATTTAAATGTTCCAAATCCGCTACTGCTTCTCAAACATCTAACATCCCATTCGGGGTCACATCAGAGCGACCTTTCGATTATGAATACATGTACTAGTAAACACAAAAACTTTGGTCATCTAGATTCAAGCCTCGGTAAACAATTCTCAAATTAATTCCACGGCTACATATCATCATTATTGATACTGTCTTACGTTGAATTAAAGTAATTCTGGAATCAATTTCATGTATAGTCTGTAGTCTGGCATCTGCACGTGAATAATGCAAACGAAAGAGCACAAACTATACAAGATACCCTCACGTCATACATAACACAGCTTATGCAAAGCATATTTTGTTTACTACAAAACTCCTCGGCTGTTTTGGTTCGGTGTTGAAAACAAGAAACCCATCTGATCTATAAGCCAAGATTTCGGAGGAACCGTTTTCTTTGGCTAATCGAAGATTCACTCTTACATGACCCCAAATATGATGTTGTTAGATGTTTGAGAAGCAGTAGCGGATTCGGAACATTTAATTTTAATTAGATTGCATCCATCTGTGACATCAGTTTGGAAGTTATTGGTTTTACTATTAAGTAAAGTATTACAAAAACAGAATGCCTGTTATTTTTTCTCTGATAACATTGGACAAAGATATGCATACTTAAATATCATCATTTCATGCACTTTTTTCGGTACGTATTAGATGAAAGCATGCTAACCGCTTTTCAGTACTTTCAGTACTTTGATTTTTTAAAGGGGCCAATTGAGACACTTACTATATATCGCTCTTTAAGAAAAAGGAATGAAAATTTAACTAGGGTTTTTTTTTTAATACATTGGCATATTGTGCAGGACCCTGGGACAGAGTTAAGATACATTGGACAAAATGATACTGGCAGAATACTCGTTCTAATTAGTGTTTTTATGTAAGTCCAATGTTTGCACGTTTTCTGTTAATATCATTAAATATAATGTTCATCCTTTTACTGTGTAACTATAGCTGCAGATCAGTAGCTCTCCAAAAAAAAAAAATATTTTGACAGACCGGACAGCTACATTGCTATCCATTGAAAAATAAACTGTAAATTTATTGCGCACAAAATCTTGTGCTTAGTACTGGATTAATTCTTCCAAATTCTTAATATCTCAATAGCAAAAAAGATACATTTAAAAATAATTCATTTTTCCTCTATAAACTACTCTCGGAGTTGACATCTGCACAAAGTGCGCTGGACTGAATTATCTTACTTACCAAAATGCAGTATAAATAGACGATATGTGTGATGATCTCAATTTCAGGACTAGTAGGGCTATTAACAACAATTACAAGGAATTTTTTATTGTGGAAACAGTGAAAGAATATGTTAGAAACACACGATTAGTATTTATTTTGAGATGAAAGTATAAAACACGGAGAAATAAATCGAGAAACGGTGCACTTTTTTGTGCGCAATATACAGTTTTTAGCTCACCTGAGGCAAAGGCTCAAGTGAGCTTTTCTGATCACAATTTGTCCGTTTTCTGTCGTCGTCGTTGTCGATGTAAACTTTTCACATTTTCATCTTCTTCTCAAGAACCACTGGGCCAATTTCAACCAAACTTGCTACAAAGTATCTTGGGTAAAGGGGATTCAAGTTTGTTCAAATGGAGGCCACGCACTTTTCCAAGGGGAGATAATCATGAATTAGAAAAAAAATAATAGGATTTTTAAAAAATCTTCTTCTCAAGAACCACTGGGCCTGGAAAGATGAAACTCATGTGGAATCATCCTCAGGTAGTGTAGATTCAAGTTTGTTCAAATCATGACCCCCGGGGGTAGGGTGGGGCCAAAATGGCCGATCAAAGTTTTACATAGGAATATATAGAAAAAATCTTTAAAAATCTTCTTCTCAAGAACCACTGGGCCTGGAAAGATGAAACTCATGTGGAATCATCCTCAGGTAGTGTAGATTCAAGTTTGTTCAAATCATGACCCCCGGGGGTAGGGTGGGGCCAAAATGGCCGATCAAAGTTTTACATAGGAATATATAGGAAAAATCTTTAAAAATTTTCTTCTCAAGAACCACCGTTCCAGGAAAGATGAAACTCAAGTGGAATCATCCTCAGGTAGTGTAGATTCAAGTTTGTTCAAATCATGACCCCCGGGGGTAGGATGGGGCCAAAATGGCCGATCAAAGTTTTACATAGGAATATATAGGACAAATTTTCTTCTCAAGAACCATCGAGACAGGAAAGATGAAACTCCTGTGGAATCATCCCCAGGTAGTGTAGATTCAAATTTGTTCAAATCATGGCCCTTTGGGGGTAGGGTGGGGCCAAATGGCCGATAAAAGTTTTACATTGGAATATATAGGGAAACCTTTTAAAGTGATATTTATAGGGAATCATCCTCAGTTAGTGTAGATTCTAGTTTGTTCAAATCATGACCCCCTGGGGGGTTAAAATTCAAGCCCCCTTCTCCCCACCCACAATGAACTTTCAGTTCTGATCTGATATGTGCTTTTTCCTAGCCAATTGCTCAGGTGAGCGATGTGGCCCCTGGGCCTCTTGTTTATTCAATGGGTGGCACTGTAGCTCTCCAGTCTGTGATTTTTTTCGGAGAGCTACAGATCTGCAGCTACTATGTAACAAGAAACAAATCAAAATATAATTTGAAGGTATTTCCCTCCTATGGTGACGGGTACTTAAGGATAACTAATTCAGTTTTTATACATCAAATAAGTTACAACATACATTGTTGTCTTGCTCACATTTTTCTTTCCACTGATTTTCATTGGGGTTTCTCCTAGATTAAAATTTTTGTGTATGCCAGTTACTTGGGGGTGAATTTCACATTTTACTGGAAGACGTCACCTCGATTCAGTACTTTCAGTACTTTGATTTATTAGTGTGGGACGTACTGTATGCCTTAATTAAAGACGATATTCTTTGAGGTGATCAAGCTCTGTAATCTCTGATTAATACCTATCATATTATGTTTTAAGTCTTCAGCAAGGTCATCAATTTGTTACTCAAATAAACATTTAATTATGATATTTCTTACAGACTATGAAAGTGAGAAGGTTGCTATGTAATGTGGAAATTGCATTGGTAAGTTTTTTTTAATTGTTTTATATTTACTAGCTTTGTACTTTATCATTTGACCTGGACCTCTTGTTCATGCATTAGTATTAAGCAATATCAGTATATTGATTTCTTAGAACATATCTTGGTAAAATGTGTTGAGCTGGCAAGGCATTAACTTTAAAGTCATATATTATATATACTCTATTCATGACTATCTCCAAGTCAAAATTTTTTTTAAAGCTATATATGCCGTATTACTGTTTTATTTTAAAAGTAATAAATATATGTGGTGTCTCATCAAGTTATATAAGTTATATACTTTCTGGAAATAAGACATTTCCACTCCATCACTTTTAAAAGTTATGAAATATTATTCGGTAAAAATTATTTTCTCTCCGTGTCGGATAAAAAACCGCCTCTTATTGAAATATTCATGATCACGTTGTCTCGCATGTTTACAGCAAACAATGGTCCAGTCTCGTGAATGAACCGAAAAGCATGATGGTCTACTATGGTTTTACTACAAACACGTGAGTTAGGGATTGTCAATATTGAGAACACCTCAGAGTTGGTTGCTTTTTGTACCGAGGAATAATCACGTGCAATTGTCTTTTCAATGGACATTTTCGGTTGGGTGAACTTCTACAGCAGTCAGCGACTATGGATAAAGAAGTGTGGAAACCATGTTGTGCCAAAACGAAATAACCAATACAAACAAATGATATAATTTGATCAATCAAAATGGTTATTAGATACATTCGATTCTGCATTTCTTAATGGTTCAAAACAACAAAAAGTATTCCACAGAATAGCATATATAAATCTGCACGTCAATATACCGAATGCCAAAACCAGAATACTACTAGATAATTATATTCTTTACATGTGAACCACAGTATTTCTGACCCCTTGAAAAAAATATGAAAAATCTTGCGAGTAGCTTATCAGCATTGGCTCGGGCTAATTCGAAAGTGAAATTTGGAGTTTGGCAGTAAATTGTAGTGAATGAATAAAATTTAGTAGTGAAAGATATTGCATGGAACCTATTTTACTTGTCAGATTTCTTCGAACTAGTTGATTTTTATTCTAACTGTTCTATTCCCCCACCCAATTTAAAAAAAAAAAAACGATGCTACCTACCTGAATTAATTTTTCTTAATGGTGTTCATCGAAATGCTTGGTTGTGCTCTCAAACTGGAATAGTTTTTAGAGGCCTGGAATTCCTTGACCAATTTTATTTTATTAGCCCAACTATATTTCTAAGAAGGCAAGATGTATGGTATGTAAGTTTCATCTACATATGTTATGTAGTTCATATTAAAAAACGAAAAGGGATAATTGACGATATCCCATTCAGGGTGTAAACATAGCAGTTTAAATTACTTTCCATACATTGTATTTGACATAAAATATCTTTTGCGCATAATATGCGCTCCATACTGAAGATCGGTAAATGTTCACCCAACCGAAAATGTCCACTAGCAGTACAGCACGGGGAAACACTAAACAAACGGACCTGTACAATGGAGTGGGGAAAACTTTAATTTTCATCATTGTTAATCATTTGTATGCAAATATGAGCATGGGATTAGTAGATAATAATGTACATAATGCATCAAGTCTTTCTGAGAGCGATTTAAAAAACTAGCCTTTTTGAAAAACACATGTAGTATTTTATGTAGTAACACATAAATGCATTAAATGCAACTCATTGAGCTGATTGGTCTATTTGTGTCCCTCACTGAACAGACGTCAAAAAAACATTTTCCTCGACCTGATGATTCTTGTGATGCTTTTCCCGCGTACATGCGCAGATCCAGGATAAACGTCAGTCCTTTATAAATATGCATGAGAATATCATGTTCTTTTCCTGACTAGTACTTTGTTAATACCGAATAAAATTTCGTCGAATTTGCAAAAATGCTTCATTTTTGGTAGCTTATCATACTCCAGAAATTTTTGTTCGGTTTCAGCTGTGCAAAAATACTGTTTAACACGGCATACATATCTTTAAAAATTAGAATTTTGACTATATGAAACAAACACTGGAATTTTAAAGGAAATTTTGATAGAGGAAAGAAGGTAATCCAAAAGATCCATTAAGTCAATGGGCCTCTTTAAAATCTCTGACAGAATTATCCATGACATCAGAGTTATATGTGTTCAACATATTACATGTATCATATCATCACGGCATGCTTTAAAAGGGAGCTTGTATAATCTGATCAAATATTTATTTCAGGTAAATGTTATTCTACTCATACACTATGCTGATTCTATGAGTGAATGCCCAGTTAATGATGGTTATGTTAGAAGGGGACCTATTTGCTGCAAATCTGTCAAATGTAAAATAAGTAAGTAATAAGAATTGATCATTATGTTCAACAGAGCCATAGGTTAACATGGCTTTTTTTTCTTCTAAAAAAGTCTGCTTAATGATAATTATTTGTTATTATTCTTTGGTTGTCTTTGTACCCTCAGTACCTCAATGTCTCAGATATGTTGATTATCTGGCATAATTCCATCCCCCAGTCCTGAAGATATTATGTATTGTATGTCAGTTAATTTTGGCATGCTGTAGAAGTTATTTAATTTGGCAGATCAAAAATAATTTGCCATATAAAATGTATAATGTTTATGCCAGAAAATACCATAAAATTTAAAGAGAGATCTGTAAAACCATTGCCTTTCCCTCCAGTCTGTGAAATAAATCTAGGTAGTCAGCAGGTTCAGAATGTTATTATGTACATAAATACGAAATATCGCCAGTACCTCACAGTTATCTAAGTTACTATCTAAGTTGACATTGTTTAAAAACCTTCAATTTACGCCGACGATTTTTTGTTGCTTACTATGGGTATTTTTGCGTGTTTTAAACTTTCCCCAGCTTTGAAAATTATTTTAAATGATATTTAATAATTAATCATACATTCAATTTCAATTCCTGATCATTTACTTACCTCTCAATGCTAACAAATGGCTGTTTAAGGTTACAGACATCGAAATGGAACTCTTTTAAACCGACATTACAAAATTATATACAGGAGTGTTCCTGGACCGTTAAAAGGTAAACAAAGTATCAAATATAAGAGTTAAATATATGAATTATTATAGGATACCATTCTAAAAGCCATAGAAAGCTTAAACTACACGAAATAAATCCCTAAAGTAGCGACGAAAAATCGTCGGCATAAATCGAAGGTTTTTACAATGCTTTGATCTGTAGCTCTCTGCTTTATCTGTCTGAATTTTCTCAAGCAGAGAGCTACAGTTCTGCAGTTACAAGAACCACTGTGCCAGGGAAGATGAAACTCATGTGGAATCATCCTCAGATAGTGTACATTCAAGTTTGTTCAAATCATGACCCCTGGGGGTAGGGTGGGGCCACAATGGCCGATCAAATTTTTACATAGGAAAATATAGAAAAAATCTTTAAAAATCTTCTCAAGAACCACTGGGCCAGGAAAGATGAAACTTATGTGAAATAATCCTCAGGTAGTGTAGTTTCAAGTTTGTTCAAATTATGACCCCTGGGAATTGGGGGGGGGGGGATGGCTGATCAAAGTTCTACACAGGACTAGATAGGGGAAATCTTAAGTATTTCAAAGCCATGATTAGTGATTTTTATGTGGAATCATCCTCAGGTAGTGTAGATTCTAGTTTGGTCAAATCATAACCCCCAGGGATAGGGTGGGCCACAATGGGGGATCCAAGTTTTACATTAAAATATGTATTTTAAAAAAAACTTCTCAAGAACAGCAAAGCCAATACTAGTAATACATGTACAAGTATTTATATGGAAGCATTTTCTGGTAGTGTAGAATTAAAATTGTTCAAATCATAACCACCAAGGGTAGGGTGGGGCCACAATGGTGGATCAAAGTTTTACATAGAAAAATAAAGGAAAAAATCCCAAGAACAGAAAAGCTATGTTTAGTCATATTGACATTTAAGCATCCTCGTGTATTGAAGATTTAAATTTATTCAAAAAATCATGGCCCTTTGGGGGTTGGGAGGGAAACATGGGGAATCAGATTCAAATTATTTTGAAGTTATTTATAGGAAGAAAATGTTTAATAAAATCTTTTTATCAGGAGTATCAAAGTCATATGCTGTAGTAATATGAAGGCTATCTCAAGTAGTATTAAAATTCACCCCCCCCCCCCTTTCAGTGAATCTTTGAGTTCTGATCTGATTTGTGATTTTTCCTAGCCAATTTGCTCAGGTGAGTGATGTGGCCCCTGGGCCGCTTGTTTCAATATTTTCCTACAACTTTCGAGGTGCATCGATTACATGAGAGCACCTTTACACATGACTTTTCGATACCAGTTTTTGTATACTGTATACTTGTTTTGTAGATCACGATTATATTTTATGTAATGGTACCACTGAACTAGGACAGGACCAGTGTGTTCCATGTCCAAAAGGCACTGTCAATCTGGATGCAATTGACACCAAAGATGTTGATTATCATATTGAAGTCTGCAGAAAACCTGATTGTGTTTGTGGCCCAGAAGGTAAGTTTTCTCATTTAAGAATCTCAAATACTAACTGATTGAGTCACTGATTCATGAATGTAAGTACCTGCAAGGTAATTGTCAGTTTATTGTCAGTTTGACAGTTTGATAATTTTAAAGGCTGCAAAAACCAAAATTTTCATAAATAAGTTGCAAATGACTCCTAGAAAGAAAATCCTATCCTCATTATCAGAAGAGATACATGGTATAGGTACATGCAGGATATACTGTATACCCTTTTCACAAAATATGATTTTCCGGACAATATAAACATGGTAATTTAATAGTGCATGGTGAATAAAAATTGAAAAGTTTTTCAACTAGTAAAAATTGTTTTGAATATGCTTTACAGCTGCAAATGACAAAAGATATTTTTCTACATTTGGTACCGCACTTGCAAGCAGCATAGCCTACTCTTCAGGGCATGATCCATGGTATCAGCAGTATCATTGACTTTTTTTTTTACATCGATGAATCTTGGTATTTATGAGCAAATGCTGTAAAATGCCTTTTTCTTTATTTTGCTTTGAAAACAGCATGAACTAAAAATGTTTCAACTATTTCACCTTTGAATATCTTGACATGCTTTCCTTGCATTGACACTTCTAAAACTGTGAAAGAATTTTTTTAAATTCTTAATTTTGTTTGCAGCCGATTTGGTGCTTTGCATCAATTTCACTTGTTAATATTAAATTTGTCATTACTTGTGAGAGCTATACCCCCTTTATTTTTAAGTATTTTAAAGCTAAGAGTATAAATATATAATCGATAAAATTAAAATGCATGCAGCATACAACATGATTTTATCTTTTCATCACAATGGTCAAAAAATTAAGTTCAAGCTAGACCTCTTTCCCAATTCAAAAGAAGAGATACATTTTTAGCTCACCCGATACAAAATTCTTGGGATATTATAACAGATCTTTATATGTGGTCAGTCTAAATTTTAGATCAAGTTCATTCCAAAGTATCTGTTTTTCAGAAGCTAAGCTTATAAATCCTGCAGAATGTATGGTCACTGGAAGAAAGATGTGTGAGTGTGACAGGGACAGAGGTTTCTGTGGCCATGATCCCATGATTTGCCAGCTGTCACAAAAACCAGAGCAACCTTTGGGAAAAGGAATTGAACTGACTCAGGACTGTAAGTTATTTCTGAAAACAAACATAAAAGAGCTGTACATGTGTATGTACATGTACAAAGTTTTGATATTCTGAAGTGCAAAAGAAATGCAACAAACAGTGATCTTTAAATATTTGAATTTTTTTATCTAATGAATTTCAAAAATGAATGTATAAAGGTAAATCTCATTTAAAAAACATAAGAGATAAAAATGTTAAATTATTATCTTTTAGCTTAAATTGTAACATATGGCTGTTTTCAGATTCCACAGCTATATTTCTTGTGACAAGACCATCTTTTAGTTATACCAACAATTTTGACCTACTTTTGAAAAACTTATCTTTGCCATAACCTTTGAACAATATGTGCTAAGCAGATGCTAAGGCTTTTACATTTCACTTGTATATTTCTTATAACAAGCTTTTCCCTGGATACCTTAAATTTTTACCTTTTGACCTTGACATTGGAGATTGACCTACTTTTAAAAAACTTAATCTTAGTCATAACTTTTTAAAAGGTCAATACTTGGGCTTTCATATTTCTAAATATATTCATTGAGTTGACACAATTAAGTCCTTTGTTTAGGAAATAACATTTATGATCTCTTGACCCTGACCTTGGAGTAAGACTTATATTTGATAAACTTCAACCCTTGCCGTTAGCTGCCATATGAGGCATCAATATGTCACAAACATTTCTTGTTTATTGTCAAATTGTTCTTCATGTCAAATGTAATTATATTTTTCAACAATTGAACAATTTCAGTGTTTTTATTCCTGCACAAAAAAAGAGGAGGATTCTGAAGTACTTTTTTGGTACAAAAACCACTGTTGATTGGAGCCTTGGATGTTTGCTTTGGCTTTTTCTTTGATTTTGATATTTTTTTTTATTGGAATTTTCATTAACTATGAAGTTATTGTTTCTAATTCAAAGATATTTGAGGTTTTCCACTTTGCCATTTTGAATCTTATTCATTTTTTCTTAAAGTAATATGCAATGTACTTGTATCAGTACCTTTTAATATACCTTTCCAACTGATAGTTGATATTGTTGATTTGTGATTATAGTACATGTGTACCTCAGATATTCATAGACAGAAAAAAGTGTATTTATCATCAGAAGTTTATTAGGATATCAAATCTTGATGATGAAAATCCTTGTTATTCAAAGAAAAATCAATACAATTATAGTTTTAGCAGTTATTTCCCTAAAATTGGATTTAAAAAGAGGCGAATAACATTCATTAAACTTTATAAAAGTCACACAAAGGTCCTTCAGTTGGAACCGTTAAGTTACACAGACACTGGATAAATAAAATTCAAAATTTTTTTGTGTATTTGTCTTGAAATAGAATACTTTTACCTTTTATTACTCAATCAACAAAAAATTTTATGTTATGTTTGGCACTGTATGTTCTTTCATAGATGTGTTATTGTCGGCATTTCTTGCCACAATAGATTTCAGAAATTTTGTCCTCTTCCTACAATCTTAGCTGAAGGTCACCCTAAACAAAGTTAGAGTGACATTCATTCAATATGTTTTGAAAGATATAGTCTCATAATTATACCTCCTTCAAACAAAGTTTGGGGGGGTATATAGGAATCACCTTGTCCATCTGTCTGTCCGTCCGTCCGTCGGTCTAGCTCTCCGTCTGTCTGTGCAAACGTGTCTGGTCCATATCTTTCTTACGGAGGGACATTAGAACCTACTACTCCACACAAAGATTGCCCATGACCCAAGGGTGTGTCATGACCTTGACCCAAGGTCATTTGGGGAAGTTCAAGGTCACTGAAATTTTTTTCATAATTTGTGTCAGGTCCATATCTTTCTTATGGATAAACTTGGTAGGTTCTCATTCTACATAAAGATTGCCCTTGACCTAAGGGTGTGTCATGACCTTGACCCAAGGTTATTTGGAGAAGTTCAAGGTCACTGGAAGTAAAATTCATAATTTGTGTCAGGTCCATATCTTTCTTATGGATAAACTTGGTAGGTTCTCATTCTACATAAAGATTGCCCATGACCCAAGGGTTTGTCAGGATCTTGACACAAGGTCATTTTTGGAAGTTCAAGGTCACTGGAAGAAAAAGTTCATAATTCATGTCCCATTCATATCTTTCTTATTGATAAACTTGGAAGGTTCTCATTTCACTCAAAGATTGCCCATGACCCAAGGGTGTGTCATGACCTTGACCCAAGGTCATTTGGGGAAGTTCAAGGTCACTGGAAGAAAAAGTTCATAATTTCTGTCTGGTCCATATCTTTCTTAAGGATAAATTTGGTAGGTTCTCATTTCATACAGAGATTGCCCATGACACAAGAGTGTGTCAAGACTTTGACCCAAGGTCATTTTTGGAAGTTCAAGGTCACTGAAATTTTTTTCAGAATTTCTGTCCGGTCCATATCTTTCTTAAGGATAAATTTGGTAGGTTCTCATTTCACACAAAGATTGCCCTTGACCTAAGGGTGTGTCATGACCTTGACCCAAGGTCATTTGGAGAAGTTCAAGGTCACTGGAAGTAAAATTCATAATTTGTGTCAGGTCCGTATCTTTCTTATGGATAAACTTGGTAGGTTCTCATTCTACATAAAGATTGCTCATGACCCAAGGGTTTGTCAGGACCTTGACCCGAGGTTATTTGGTGAAGTTCAAGGTCACTGGAAGAAAAAGTGCATAATTCATGTCCCGTTCATATCTTTCTTATGGATAAACTTGGTAGGTTCTCATTTCACACAAAGATTGCCCATGACCCAAGGGTATGTCATGACCTTGACCCAAGGTCATTTGGGAAACTTCAAGGTCACTGGAAGAAAAATTTCTTAGTTCATGTGTGATACATATCTTTATTATGGAAAAACTTACTTCTGAAAAACCCAGCGGGGGGTATTTTGTCCCGTTTGGACAGTTCTAGTTGAAACAGTGTTTGCAAACAAGTTAAATTTAACCATCAATTGTTTTTACTGCTTATGTAACTTGAAAAATTAGTTGAAATGCTATAGCTATATGTTGTCTGTTCTGCTCTTTAGGTAGTTTATTTCCAGTTTAATGGAGTTGTCTCTTTACAGGCACATTTGAACCATGCAAGCCTGGATTCTTCAAAGAAAAGAAAGGACTGGGAAAATGCGAAAAACATCAAGAGTAAGGAATTTAGTTAAGAATAACTGTAATAGCTTCCCAAGTTATATTAGTATACTTTAAAATCAAATATTTTTGAGTGGATATGATTTTAGCTCTACTGGTCAGAGACCAGAAAAGCTTATGCGATGGTAAAGTGTCCGTCTAGCTGTCTGTCTGTGAACAGTTTTTCAAAATGCTTGTCCCAGTGATTGGGAAAGGCTTGCACCATAGTCCCATTGAAGTGAAAAATGCATCGGACAGACGGTATTTCGACTGAAAAAATATCATACCTTTATCTCATACGTGTTGGTGATACAGGCCGTTGGATAAACTTATGTTTTATCAACGGGTAGATGCTTTATCAATAGCACTTCCGGTTTTGACACGATCCCTCGCTTCAAGATTTTATTTTATTGAAACTTTTATTTGTAAAAATTGTTGCCCTTATAAAATGAATGATAAAGGGTAGCAATATCGTTAAAAGCAAGAAAAAGACGGGTATATGTTAAAGAAGTGTCTTATTTTATCAAGAACCCATTGGTTATTTGAAGACAGATGTTAACACCCCCCCCCCCCCCCCAAATCGTTTTCGGAGAAAGTAAAGCCTACCAGTTAAGTTGTTGTTATAAGACTCCTTTGACATCTTTAAGAATGTTTTCTTATATTATACTATGTATGCCTACCTAGTAATGTAGGTGTAACTTACCATGGATCAGCAAACAATCTAGACAAAGTCTAGGCCCCTAGCCTTGCCTAGCACGATTTGTACTGCCATCGTAAAAAGAGTTGATTTTCACGATCCCCATAGTCGTAACAACTTTCAGTCAAAAGTTCGTTTGATGTAAAGCTCTAGCAATTGTCACATGATGTTTTCAAAGACACAGATAGCAAATATTCTAAATTTTAAACTCGATCTACTTTCTCTCGATGCATGTAAACATCAACGGTGCTACGTCATCAAGTTATACGTCATCAATTTGATTTTGGCAGTCATTCATGTAGTTTTGCGGGGGAAGTCTCAAAGTTTTATTAAAACGAAAGTCGTATGAGATAAATAGAACATCTATAATTGTGTGATTTGATTTTGGCTTTATCCAACTCGTTGAAATGGTGTATATTCGCTCGGCATATACACCATTTCAACTCATTGGATAAAGCCAATATCAAATCGAACAAAATATAGATATCCTCTATTTATCACAGTCAGGGATTTATCTAGCTATTTTGTTTTACTACCGTTTTATATGTAAAGGTGAAAAATGAGAGCCGCAGGCTCGATCTCAGCGCCGGAGGCGCAAGTATTCTAGGGGGGTCCGGGGGCATGCCCCCCCTGAAATTTTTTTAATAAATGGAGCAAAATCCTGCATTCTTAGAGCTTCTGAGGGTCATTTGTAGACCTTTACAAAGGCCACAAAAACTTCACTTTTTAGACAAAATATTAAATAACAAAAAAAAAAAAAAAAAAAAAATTAAACCAGGTCAATACTTTATTTAATTTTTTCTCTCAATATCTATCACAAATCAATTCTGTTTTTCATGTTTCACTACTAACATTGTTTTTGTTGTTACTCCATTCTTCTGATCCATAGTGATATAAGCTCCTTCTTACTAATCTACACTTTTCTTTTTAACTCTGCAATCCAGACGTATATTTTGACATCAATGGACATGGCACATGTTTACCGATCATTATCAAATAGAAGTTTGAATATTTTACTCTCTCTTTTAAAAGCGTTTGAATGACTAGGATGGTAAATTAGGATATGCTGTTAAACTTCAATCGGACAAAAACGGAAAATTTAAATATTCTCTGTTTAATCAGAGAATGTTCTATCTGAAAAGGGGAATTTTTTCACTTTTTTCAAGAGGGGAAAGGTACTGTTTACCGGTAGTAAAAACAGCCTTGATAAATCCCTGACAGTGCTTTAAAATCCTTGATATGGATATACTTTTATATTTTATCTAAGAAATTACCCTCAAATCAAATTTATTTGATGATATCGTTGCACAAATATGGAAAGATTCAACATGCCTTACTCTGCCTTAGAAAGGCTTTAAAATGCTTGTAATGCGGTAATTCGCGTCTTTTTCTCATGTGTTAAAATACTCTGGTTTGTAGAAATAAATTGAGTCAGATTCTAAATGTAATATATCGATAACTTGTATTTTGACTGTAAATTTAGAGTTTTTAGCTCACCTGAGCCGAAGGCACAAGTGAGCTTTTCTGATCACATTTTGTCCGGCGTCCGTCTGTCCAGCTGTCCGTCTGTCTGTAAACTTTTTACATTTTCGACTTCTTCTCAAGAACCGCTGGGTCAATTTCAACCAAACTTGCCACAAAGCATCCTTGGGTGAAGGGGATTCAAGTTTGTTCAAATGAAGGGCCATGCCCTCATTCAAGGGGAGATAATTGGGAATTAATGAAAATTTAGCATATTTTAAAAATCTTCTTCTCAAGAACCACTGTGCCAGGAAAGATGAAACTTATGGGGAAACATCCTCAGGTAGTGTAGATTCAAGTTTGTTCAAATCATGACCCCCGGGGATAGGGCGGGGCCAAAATGGCCGACCAAAGTTTTACATAGAAATATATAGGAAAATTCTTTAAAAATCTTCTTCCCAAGAATGACAAAGCCATAATTCATCATATTTTTATGGAAGCATGCTCAGGTATTGTAGATTCAAGTTTGTTCAAATCATGACCCCCGGGGGTAGGGCGGGGCCAATATGGCCGACCAAACTTTTACATAGAAATATACAGGAAAATTCTTTAAAAATCTTCTTCTCAAGAATGACAAAGCCATAATTCATCATATTTATATGGGAGCATGCTCAGGTAGTGTAGTTTCAAGTTTGTTCAAATCATGACCCCCCCCCGGGGTAGGGCGGGGCCAAAATGGCCGACCAAAGTTTTACATAGAAATATATAGAAAATTCTTTAAAAATCTTCTTCTCAAGAATGACAAAGCCATAATTCATCATATTTATATGGAAGCATGCTCAGGTAGTGTAGATTCAAGTTTGTTCAAATCATGACCCCCCGGGGTAGGGCGGGGCCAAAATGGCCGACCAAAGTTTTACATAGAAATATATAGGAAAATTCTTTAAAAATCTTCTTCTCAAGAATGACAAAGCCATAATTCATCATATTCATATGGAAGCATGCTCAAGTAGTGTAGATTCAAATTTGTTCAAATCATGACCCCCAGGGGTAGGACGGGACCAAAATGGCCGACCAAAGTTTTTAAAAATACATATAGGAAAATTCTTTAAAAATCATTTTCCAAAAAATAGCAAATCCATGATTGGTCATGGGACTACTTTTGGATTTAAACTTTACAATAAAAAGCCATTTTCTACTTTTTCCTTCCCTTAGTGCTCAGGTGAGCGATGTGGCCCATGGGCCTCTTGTTATTTTCTATTTCCGCAAAAAACAACTGTCATTTGGGTTCTGTATGAAAATGGTAGTGATTAACTTTGCATCAGAAAGTGTCCGATGCATGGTTAATTTGTGTCTGATGTACGGTGAAATGAGTATACTAGCCAACTCTAATAAGAATTAAACAAACATTGAAGTGAAATTTCTTTTTAATTTATGTAAAATAACCAATCTCTTAATCACTTAAGTCTGACTCCTTCCGTGAAAGTCAAATTTAAAAGAACGATAACTCTAAAAATTGCAAAATCATAAATTTCGGGTTATTCCCCTTTGCTGATGTAAAATATGACGTAACTTAAAGGCCATTCTCGGGGTATTTTTATCACAACATGATAAAAACAATCGGTATCATTAAAAAATTTAAATCTTCATCGTTAAGACAGAAACAAATAAATACACAGAACTCTTAAGTTGAAAGAGAGTTTATTGCCTAAAGTTGTCCGAAGCAAGGTATGTGTCCGATGCATGGTGAACTCACCCTAATTACAGTTTTGTGTTTTTGATTTCAATGATTGATGTTGCCAGGGTAGCTAAAATTGAATATTATGTAAAGTTTTATTAAAAGCTGTTCATAGAGTTGTAGTCTTATTGCAATCTTGTCACAAAAAGAGATTTAATCAAGGATCATTATTCTATTTGTTGCTTTTGTAAAGTTTTAAGTCCCAAAGGCGACTTTTCTCTTCCTTTATCATAAGTACAAACCAGTAGAGCTATAGTCTCGACAGAGACTTCTGGTTTCCTTAAGTGTTTTAATCATGGCTGTTTTAATGTTCTTTTTTAGATGTCCCCAGGGCTTTATCACAACATTCAATGGTTCTAGCATCAAAAACAGGGAGTGTGAGCCTGAGCGTGAAGTTGTTTCAGATTTCACAGTAAAACCCAACACCTCAGACACTAGGAGTTCAAGCAAAAGTGGTACTTATTTAAGAAGCATAAAAATTTGATAATCATTTAAAAAATTGGAAATGAAATGTTCATTTACTTTTTATTTGCAAGGGCTTGAATTTTGTGCAAAAGTGCAAGGTCTTCTGCTCACAAAATTTTATTCTTTAATTATTTCTGAGTTAAATATGATGTAGAATAATTAAATTTTTTTAGAATTTTAAAAATATCAAATGACTGCAGCAAAACCCCTTTAGTACAAACACAGATATTGCGAATTCACAGATAAAGTGAATTTAACTATCCCCAGCTATAAAAATTTAACAAATATATGGATATAACGAATTACGGATATAGCAAAGTAAGTTCAAAGGTCCCAGCTACTTCGTTTTAACTGAGTTTTACTGTATCTTACAATGACTATCTTGCAAAAATAAAGTGTCATGAAAATTTTATGATCTACAATATATCAATTATCGGTAATATAAATTTTATTCAATGAAATATACCTGGTAATAAATAGTGTGCATCGATCTTGAAATGTTGATTTGTCTCAGTAGAAATACCAGTTACAACACACTAAATTGTAGAGGTAGAAACCTTGTTGTCAAACTTTGCAGATATTGAGGACATAATGTGTAGATGTGCATATTTATACCAAGAAATTCTGATTCCTTTATTTTTTCTGGGAATTTCTGCACTTTTACACCTAGATTTTGGGCAATATCTTGAATATAGAGATGAACAGTTTGTCAGCCCAATTTCTCATAAACCACTGCACAGAATTTCGTCAAACTTTGCAGATATTTAGGACTCAATGTGTAGATGTGCATATTACCAGAAAATTCTGATTCCTTTTTTTTCACAGCCATTTCAGCACTTGAAATACTGTAATTTATACATTGAATAAAAGTAATATTCTGTCACTGTGTGAGATAATATCAGAAGTGCAGCAAGCTCCTCAATTTTTCTTCCCTTCATGACAAATGCTTTAAAAATCACTGGTCTACCTGATTTGTTACAAGTTATAGGAAGATTTAATTAGAAATCCTAACAGAGTCTAAACTGTCAAAGTTTCCCCAAATATGTTGTTAAAACAATGTATTCATGTTTATGATATTTCCCAATCAACTATAATGTCACAGCCTATGAGCCTATGTTTTGAAAAGACGGAAAGGGGAAATTAAAGACAATATAATAAACAGAAAATTCAATGTTTTATTGTTGAATATATTATTCAGACTAGCCTATATTGACAACCACAAATGTCTCAATAGACAGTTTTTGATGCATTCAGTGAGACTACACTTTGTATGCATCATCATGCAGAGCTAGATTGTCAATTGATAAATAAAATCATTTATGTACATTCAATTATCTGTCAACATAAACTTCGTGAAATGTTAATATTATACTTTCATATAAATTAGTTGAATCTGATTGGTCTAGAAACATTTGTTTAAAAACACTATTACCCAATGAATAATGAAGCCACACCCTCCAGCGTAGGAACAGTTAACAGTGCTTGACGACGGGTGATATTCCAAAAATAGTGACTGCGCAGAAATCATGCGCTCACCATTCACTGTTCAATGTATTTGTATAAAACATTCACTGTTATATGTATTTGTATAAAACATTCAGTATAATATAAATATTGCATGTAGTTGAGTGTAACATTGATAATTTTCACCCCAAGAAAATCATTGTCAACCTCGGCTGCGCCTCAGTTGAGAACGGTTTTCATGGGGTGAAAATTTTCAATGTTACACTCAAATAATTTAATTTCACTTGTATCAAGCTATTTCATTGGCTGAATCATTCATAGGAACATATAATATATTTGGATAACATAACTTGCCTACGTCACAATGAGTTACGTCAAAAATGTATTACTCCGCTTGACGTTACTTTTAAAATAATGCTCAATTTGAAGCCTTATTCTGGAGTAAAAAATGTCTAATTGTCTATATTGAAATTAAATCATAAGGAATGAAGCTAATTTCAACTTATGTTATACGATATAACAAAACTTGGGGCAGTTTACGCTTTTTTATAAACCGCTTCGCGGTTTATAAAGCGTAAACTGCCCCAAGTTAAAGTTGAAATTAGCTTCATTCCTTAACTACATGCAATATTTATATACTATTTTGCCCAGCAAAAGTGTAGTACTGCAGTTATTGTGAATGGGTTAACAGTGCATGACCCACGCTTTAAATACTGGTAAGTGTGGGGAAGCATTTACGAGAATATTTTATCAGCAACATTAAATTTTTACTTCAGATTCTCATTCCTGGAGCCTGTCCACGATATTAATTTTGATTATAATGTAAGTACATCACACTATACAAATACATTTTTCATTAGTATTTTAAATGGTATCAGAAACACTTAACACACTTCATAACTACATTGAATTTTTATCAAACATTCAACATTTTTTCAAACAGTATTCAGACTTTTTAAATTTCCTTTAATCCCCACAATAGCAAAGGGACATTGAATCTCATTCTTCTGTCATCTGTCACAAAACTTTTTTGCCTCCATGTGTTACATCAATTAAATTTTAATATTTTTTAATCCTCTTTCAAAAGCATTCCTTTTTCATTTAAGATTCTGTTGATGACAGGGATTTTATTTTATTTTGTTTTCAATTTAAGTGCATGCTCCTTTATAAGGAGATAAAAATTTCGTAAGGGGCTTTATCGATCTAAGAACAAACCCCCAAAAAATGACAAAATTATGCTGCAGCTGTTTTATATATTAGAGATTCTCTTTTGTTCATTGACCTACTTTTTATACACCCCACAAACAAAGTTTGGGGGGGGTATATAGGAATCACCTTGTCCGTCTGTCTAGCTGTCCGTCTGTCTATGCAATCGTGTCCGGTGTCGCATAATATACGTTACGGGTAACTTGGCGTTCCGGCCGGAACGCTAAATACCTATAATATTGGTTCCGGGCCATAATAAACGTTCCGGCCTGCGTAAGATTGGTTCCGTCCGTAAAAAACGTTCCGGGCAACCAAGCACCCTATTAAACTCTCTATTTATATTTAATATTGGCTGTTAATTTTAATTTTCTTCTTTATTTTATACTTTCGTATATGATACAGCAGGATTTAATCGTAAGACATACATATGTGTTTACATTTCAAGTCAGAATATGCGGTCTTTTTACCAGAGACATTATATCTTTATTGATGTCTCTGATTTAAATATTATATTAATCCATGAAATTCCAGTTGATTATTTTGATTCTTTGTAAACAAAAGAAGGTGTGAAACTTGTTTACATTGATATACCCCCCATCGTGCTTTTTACGATAGACTTGGCTTCTATCGATACGAATAATTGCTCAGTCTTGCGAATCGCCGTAAGCACACATGACCACCCTGATCAGATGATAATGGTGATAGATTAATTATATTTACCATAAAATACTTTAATTATTAGGTATAATTAATATTGTAATTTCCTTACAATTTTTTAAACACCCGTACATGTAGTTGCGTTTTTTTTTAAACCAAATATAAAATAAATTAAAATACAAGAACATAATGGGAAACGAGTGCATGCCGGATCTAAAAAGGGAATTTATAATTTAAGCATTTAATACGAAGGAAAAGTGTTTCCCGTTTGTTGATTATTTTTCTTCGTCAGGTGAAGTTTTTTGTTTGTTTTTTTTTAAATTTTAATGTTATATGTCAACAAAACATGCACATGATCAACTTGGAAATGTTTCAATGACACGGCTAAAAACGTTTGAATAAAATTCAACTTATTTTTATTTATGCACGTAAGTACAAGTACATTTGTATTCATTAGTAAGAATAACACTGAAGAAGAAATGTATTACAGACACAGATCTGTATTTTATAGGGATGTCAACGAGTACCCGGTTAACCGGGTACTCGATCGAACGTCCGAGTATCGAATACTAAAATCGGTACTCGGTTACTCGGATGTATATTTTTGAATATTTCTAAGCTTATTTATTAATGAATTAAACAATCTGTTTTAAAAGGTAAAATACTCATTGCACTTGTACATACAGTAATTAGGGTTTCCTACTCCTCTAAATGACCGTTAACGCCTGTGGCAGTGTTTATACAGTAATTATCATGACCAAGCGCCTGTTACCTGGCTTTTCTCACCTTCGGCTGTCTTCCACCCTTATTTTTTTATTTTCTTTAATTATTTGTTTTCACTTAACATCTTTTAAGGTCTGTTATGATTAAATAAATTATAATTTTCTCAATTCTCCGAGAAGCCGTAATTTCTCGGGAATAGAGACAGATGATATTACACGCGCGACTGTTGATATGGTTGTGTTTCATTACATGCCAATACATGTACAAATAGTTGACGGCAAAGGCTTAAAAAATGATGTCCATCATTGCACCAAACTACAAAATACCGTCCCGTGATACTATAAAATCTAGGATCGAAAAGTATACGAAAATCGTAAATCGGCTCTGTTAGAACTTTGTCAAGTTCAAGTCAAACTGTACGACTGATATATACAATGTACCTTGACGTCAAATGCAACAAAGAGTTACATTACAATTACGGAGTAGATTTTTTTTTTAAAAACAAAAACACTATGAACCACTTACGATTTTTATTTCTTGTGTTAATCTGATAAATTGATTGAACTTAAATAAATGTTGTATTAAATTTCGTCGGGCACGAAGTTCTAATCATTGTTTCAACAGCAACCTCCTATCAGAGCATGTGGTTTTATTTCTACAAGTGTTTACAATGTTTTACATTCATCAATTTACTTGTGCATATTTATTTACACTTTTACCGAGTACCCGGGTACTCGATCGGAAAAACGTCCGAGTAACCGAGTATTAAAAATTGACCGATTTGACATCCCTAGTATTTTACTATTTATATGAATAGCGTTGTGAAGTCTGCTCACCCCCCCCCCCCCCCCCCCCTGCAGTGAACAGTAGACAAAAAACTTGATTTGCTTGGTATAAAATTTTTATACGCCCGTCTTAAGACGGGACGTATTATGTTATAGGCTTCGTGTCCGTCCGTCCGTCTGTCCGTCTGTCCGTCTGTCCATTCCTGTCCGGCTCATAACTTCAATACTAATAGGCCTAGGATTATCAAACTTTGTCAACTGATACTTCTTGGGTAGACGGTGTGTCGCGCACAAAAAGTAGGTCGCTCTGACCTTTAATTAAGATGCTATGGCCAAATATGGAAAAATCCTGTCCGGCTCATAACTAGTAAACTATAAGACCTAGAGCTATCAAACTTGGCAAATGTATACATCTTGGGTAGAAGGTGTGTCGCGACCTATTTCAAGGTCACTGTGACCTTTAATTTAAGTGAAATTTTTTAAAAAACTAAGTCTTTTAAATTTTGAATTTCATAATCCTAAAAAATGCAAAATTTTAGTTGTATCCTTATTAAAAAAGTGTTAAATCAAGAAAATACTTATTTTTTTCAGCATATACTTGACAGCAATCTATAACAGATATTATGCATGTTAGAGAAATCCCATGTCTCCCATGAGAGTAATTATCAAGCACTGGTCAAGAGTTTTGATAACAGAAAATTGCATGTCAAATTAGAGAGAAATTAATGAGTTTAGTGTGAGGAGCAAACTGGAGAGCATCGGTATTATCTGTATCCCTTTGGGAATTGGGCAGATGGGTAAGCCTGTTGGATTAAAAATAGCTCTTGTTGGCTAGCCTAAGTTTTAAAATGATTTTGATGAAAAGTAATTAACACTAATTTGATATTGCATAATAAACTAATCTAATATTATATAATATTATTAATTTAAAAAACTAATTTCATAGGGGTGGAATCAGCATGTCCATTTTCCATAGAAATTGCATATTAAAATCTTTCTGACATTAAATGTTAAAAAAAAATCATTGAGTATTTTATATGTTTCAAAAATATTTTATGGTAGATAGTGCAGATTCATTCATCTATATTAATGAGTAGACAAGCATCCAGTCAAAGATTAATTAATGAGTTCAATGTAGGAAGGCTAGCTAGCATCTTCTTATCTGTATCCTTTGAGAATTAGACAGAAGAACTGCTGGTCAGTTTAAATAGCATATGTCATTTGATGGCCCAGCCTTTTATTTTCAAAATTAATTTGGTATAGATTAAGTTGTTAAGACTAATTTGATATTGTTTAATATGATGGGCATTTGACAAGGTCTAATACAACCAGTATAGAAATCTATCAATGATGTAATTTGTTATAATTAATGCCTACACCACAGGGGATATCGATGGATAAACAAATATTTTAAGGAATAAAAAAAAATCATGGAAATTTTAGAATCAAGGTTTACATGATTTTCTTGCACTCTAAACTGTTTAAGTTAATTGTAATATTTTGACGGGCGTATCATGCTGTGGCGTGGCACTTTATTATATTTCAATTAACAATTTGTTGAATGTGTTCAACAAACAAAGGAGTCTTAGTGGGGAAGACAACCGCGAACGTTTGTTCTATCGCCTACCTGATTTTTCAAAAGACATCTTTGAAAGACTTTTCCTATAGATATAATAGATTTTTTTTTACGAACTTTCAAAAACTATAATTATTTGGAAAAAAACAAAAGGTTTCTCTTTAATTCTGATAAAACGTGTATTTCCGCTCTAGAACTCGATGGGAATGTAAAATCTTAATTTAAAATGAAAACCTGCAGGCATGCTTATGAAGCTATCTTAGGACTAAGACATCTCTTAAGACGAACTTACGACATATCTTAGTCTTAAGTGAGGCCATCGAAGCTATCCTATCTTAGGAGACCTCCTAATCTTAGTCCTAACTTTAAGTCCTAACTTTAAGATGACTGCGGACATGTCATATCTTAGGTGATTTTAAGAAACGCTGGTGTCAAGAAAACAATTAAGAATGTTTTTTGTGTAAAAAAATCAACTATTTACTGTAAATTAATGATTTCTTTAATGAACTAAATCCATTTATGAACATCATACCGTGTGAATATATGTATACACCTGTGCAAATAGAAATGGAGAGAACAGTTAATAAGAATGCGCTCATTGACATGTATGCATTTAAAGATTAAAACATCAAAAAAGATTTATTCAAGCCCTTTCCAAGTAGATAAAAATATACAATTTATTGTTCTTTATTGGGACAAAAACGGAGGGATGGGGGGGGGGGGATACATTCAAAAGATCTAAACCGATCTGCTGCATTTATTGGTTTAAGCCGATGTAAATAATAAAAACAGCAGAGAAACAACACATATTCAAAATATTAAAGGAAGTTTATAGAGGTGACTTCCTCTTCGTGGAAGAGAGAGAGAGAGTTTGT